CCGTTTATTCTTCAAGGTTAAATTTAAATAATGGTAACGGATTTCTTAAGCAATGAATGGTTTTTAGTAGCATCCCGAAAAGGATTTCGCAAATAAATATGTATTATTAAGAAAAGTTTTGCGAAAAATGCACTCTGATATTTAAGGAAAAGCGGGGTGTTACAACAACTCTCAAAGATAATCATATATGCCTCACTCATTTTCTTGTTTGAATATGTGATAGGTTCTCTCAAAATTGGTCGATATTCACTTTTCAACATATGCTTGCCAATCGTCTAGATTACTCGGAATCAACCAAAGCTTAAAATTTTTGAATCAAGAGGACTTCTCGGGTTGTAATGTGGGATATAACAAAGGTAATGATAAATATATGGACAAGAAAACTCAAATAAACAATCAAAGTTTTCAAGTTATAGAATACTCGAATGTCCGCCACTCGACCAAATCAACAAGATGCACGCATACCATCCACCAATGTCTCTGCAAACAACACCTATATGCTCCAATTGAATTGCAATATTGCTTGACTTATTACACATTTTTTTTAGAGAGTTACTATTTCCGAACAAGCTCGAATCGCAAGGACAATATTCCTAAGGTTTAAACATTGGAGGTCATCCAGGTGTCCTAAGGTGGTTTCCCAATACTCATTACTCGTTAAAATGAATAACATGTAAGCGGAGTAGAATCTAATTGATTCGTCTTGCGAGCTCTCATGTATTTTTTTTTATTTCATTTTTTTTAAATATGGTAAAGCATAAAATGCAACTCGATTTTCACCTCTTTCAAAAATATCGCAACTTCACCAATCGTCACTCAAAACCTGTCAACAATCATATATATATATATATATATATATATATATATATATATATGTGTGTGTGTGGTTTACAAGAAAAGGCTTCAAGTTCAAACGGGCTACTAGCGGAAAATATATTTCTAGGGTCAAGAACAAGGCAAAACGAGCTAACAATCAAAACGCCTAAATCATTTTCGCAATTTCAAACTTAAACCGATTCTTTTCAAATAGACTCACGACAAGTTCTAATCATTCGAGAATACGACCAATATCTCTCAAGAAAGAAGAATAAGGATCGAAACCTCACAAGGTAAATAAATGTCAATTAAAGCAATCAAGTAAATATCGAGACAATGATTAATACGTTCGTCATCACATCTTCCCAATTTCATCAAACATTTATCAACAAATCATATAATTCACCGATACCACATTTTCAACAACAACCTACCACAAAAACACGCAAAATCCAAGACGGAGTCGCCAACTCCCCCACACTTAAAATAATGCAATGTCCCCATTGCATCGACACATAAATGGAAATAAAAAC